AGGTGACCATGGTGGGGAGGGCGGGCAGGTTCTGGGTGAAGGACGAGCCCGAGCCGGAGCTCCCCAGGCTTTCCGAGAGGCTGGAGAAGAGGGTCCCGCTGCCGGCGAACTCCACCAGCGCCTGCGAGAAGCTCACGGCCTGCTCGGGCTCGGCCTCACCGCCCACCGGGGGCTCATCGTCGCCACCGCCGCGCTCCGGGAGCCCGTAGCCGGAGAACAGCCCCGCTCTGCCCGGGGCCGCGCCGCCCGGCACGGAGCCCCCTGGCAGCCCCCCCTGCGCCTCCGAGGCCGGCCCCGCGAGGCTCTTCCCCGGCGGGAGGAGGCCACCGCCCTGGGCCTGGTGGCCGTCGGGACGGCTCTCCGGGCACACGGGCCCCGCCAAGTCCCCCCACTCCGCCTTCTCGCCTCTGGCCGCCGACACCCCGCCGTTCACACCCCTCCTGGGCCCGGGCGAGCCCGCCGGGGGGCTACCGAGCCTGCTCGCCTGCTTGCCGCCGGAGCCGGCCCCTCGGCCTTGGCATTCCAGGCAGGGCTTGTCCCGCGGACACTTCTCCCGGCCGGGAAGGTCGCGGCGCCGGGGCAGCGGTTCCCTCTGCAGCTCCCAGTACAGCAGCTCCTTCTGAATGGCCGCCAGCCGCTCCTCCTCCGTCTCCATCAGCCCCCGCTTCTCCCCCAGCACCCGGACCAGGCTCCTCTCCGCGGGCAGGCAGAAGTCCAAGAAGTAGCTGAAGATGCCCGGGCGGGAGACTTTGCCCTCAAACAGGGACTCCTCCCCGAGAGAGGGGCTCAGCAGCGCGTCGAACTCGTAGAGCGCGTCCCCGCTGTAGCTGTCCCGCGGAAGACGCTCCTTCTTCAGCTCCCCCAGCCCCTCCCCGCCTTCCTCCTCCGGCCCCGGCGTGGTGGAGTCGTAGTAGCCCTCGTCGCTGTTCGGGGCCGACTCTTGCTGCTCGCTCTGCGGCGTCAGGAGCTCCACGCCCTCCAGCGCGTCCCCCACGTAAGGGCGGCCGTCCTGCGTCTCCAAGCTGCTGCTCGACACCTGGGCTCCGTAGCCCCCATCCCCGCTGCCCTCCCACACCTGCGGGAGGAACTCCTCCGCCTCCTCCGCCTCGGCCATCTCCTCCCCGCCGCCCTGGTAGCTCACCAGGCAGGAGCTCCGCTTGCCCGCGTCCCTGCCGCGCTCCACCGAGAGGCTGCTCTCCGCCACCTCGGGCTCCGCGATGTCGTCCCCGCACCCCGTCAGGGAGTCGAAGCTCTTCAGGGAGGTGACGTCCCCCAGCAGGAGGCTGAGCAGCTCCCCGGTGTGCAGGCACGGAGGGTCGGTGTCCACCAAGTCCGGATGAAAGGCCAGCAGCAGCTGCTCGGGGTCCAACTCTGCGCAGGTAACGGCCTCGGCCTCCGACTTCGTACCCGCACCCTCCCTCTCCCCCGGCATCGCCGCCGCGTCGCCCTCAGAGCCACCATCACTGGCCGCGGGACGGCCGGGCTGGGCAGCCTCCCTGCAGGGGGTGGCCGTGGCCGCTGAGCCCTCACCCCCCAAGCCCCCCGGGGCGGGCACGGCAGCAGGGACAGGGCCCGGGCCCCTTCCCCCCGCGGCCCCTCGGCTCTCCGCTCCCGCACCGGCGTCTTTGCCGGCCTCCTCCGCGGCCCCGCTCCACTCGGGGAGCTCCGCCGGCTCGCTCTCGGCAGCCTTGCTCTTCCGGTGACGCCGGATGCTGTTCAGAAACCCCTTCAGCCCTTTCTTGGCTCTGGGCAGGGAGGACTTCTCGCCGCCGGCCTTCTTCTCGCAGCCCTCCATGGGGGGAGAGCCGTCCCGCCGCCCCGACTCCGACCCGGCGTCCACGGCCGAGGGAGCGCTCCGGGAGCTCGGCAAAGGGCAGGGAGGCGACTCCCCGCTCCCCTCCCAGGGGCTTTCCAGCGGCGCCCCATCGCCCTGCTCGCTGCCGCCTCCGCTCAGCCCCTCGTGGGTCCGGCATTTCCCCAGGCCCTTCTTCGAGGCCGCTTTCCCCTGCCCTTTGCTCCGGCCCCCAAAGAAACTGGGCAGCGTGCAGATGCTCCTCTTCCCCCCAAACAGCCTCAGAGCCGTTTTCTTCAGCTTCCCGGGGGGCGCCTGAGGCTCCGCAGCCCCCCCGCAGCCGTCGGCCCCCTCGGGCGGCCGCTCCCTGCTCTCCTCCCGCCGCCCGGGGGCCGACGGCTGCCCCCCGCTGCGGGCGGGCTCCTCCGGGCAGCCCCTCTCCATGGCCCTTGGGCTGCATCAACTGGGGACGACGACTTCGGGGGCGCAGTCCTCTCCCGGGCGCCGAGAGCGCAGCATCCTGGCAGCCCAGCTGAAGCAAAGGGAGAGGCAGAGAGGTGAGGGCTCGGCGGCCTTTTGGC